GGCCCCCCCCCCCCCCCGGGGCAGGTATACACTTCTGCGTTGCTTCATTGACGAGCGAAAAGAGACAAACTTGGTGCAGGTAGCCTGAATTTTGTTACCTCTTCTGGTATCTGAACCCCTGGATCAGGTTACATCGGTTACATGACAAAAAAAACTCTTCGTCTTGGGCACATACCACAAAAATTAAAATGAGATGCCGAAACCAGGGGTTCTTCGCAGGTGGTGAGGCGACGAAAAAAGGTATGCGAACATAAATACAAATTGATGTAACTAAACGTAATTTAAGGATGCAAAGCCCCAAAGGAATGCAGTTCCGCACCCTACACTAGAGCTATCTCTCTCTCCGTCCCTTTCCTTTCTTCCTTCAGTAAATTTTATCGCGGGCTCAGTCAATCCGGGAGCGCTTGTCCTCTGTCTTGTCCACTTCGTCCCTCAATGTGCTGCGCCTTGCTTTTCGAGGTAGGTCATAATTCCTTTTCTTGCAGGTAAACTATTGATAAGCATTTGTGCTTTAATTCACAACTGTGCCAAACTTTCCAAAAAAACTGAAAGCGAGAGCGACAAATTGTTTTCTTCTTCAGATATCAGGTGGTTGTTTATTAAATTAAACCTAGAGGCGTAATTAGATCGAAGTATCTAGATACCCGGCAGCTGGGAACTGTTTTTTTAAAAAATTAGATACCCGGCAGTCAGAAATTTTGACCAATTTTCTCGAAATAGCACGTTTAATTCCTCTAAGAACATAAGATATTTGTTTAGGAATCTCAAGTGATTGTAAATATTGCCTTGGGTTAAAAATAGAAGCGACTGTCGAGCGTGGACATAGAGTGAAATATTCAAGTTCTGACACACTGAGTGAACTCCCGATGAATATCCACAGAAATTATCAACGAAACCTCACCAGAGTATTTAGTGTTTGTTCAGAAATGCCAAGCGATTCTAATAAAAGGTTTCGTATTCTCCGAACTCGCATTAAGCATAATTCTTTAGAGTCTTGACGCACGGGTACGGTTTTCAAAATACTAGATGCCCGGCAGTCGGAAATTCTCACTGCACTTTCACGAAAATCTTTCTCAGCATCTGCTGAGTCTACTCGATTTCTATGTAAAATTATAAAGAATCTATACCGGTCTATTTGGAGAAGCGCTGGAAAAGCGTTGCGAGAAGCGTTGCTAAATGGCCTCTACTCTTCTATCGTACACTTCCTCAAAAGACCAACTAAAATGGCGGGGTACGAAAGAGAATTTATTAACTTTTCTGTCGTCCCGGTTACAAGTCGAAAGCCGTGATATCCAAGTCAAAGACAACGGAACGTGTTCGGTAATGAAAGTTAAAGGGATGACGTTCAACTTCTATCAAGGCTAAAACACTTCACATACAAGGAAAAGAAAATGCCAACCAATTAAGAGCAGACCTGGTCAATCTAGTAGCTTGCACTGTGAACTCAAATGACAGCGTCACACCCGAATTTGTAGAACAAGATGGCGTCGAAGCTTCCCGCTCCAGCGATGAAGAAGGCGATGAAGATGACAACACCATGGCCTATCAACCACCTACTATCAACTTGGACAATTCTATACTCGAAGGACCTTATGCTTCTTACTTTAACAGTCAAATAACTAGCATAAAAGACGAGCTGAAAACCATCAAGTCGCTATTGAATTGCTTATCGACTCCTCAGACGATTGTCAACGCCTCAGAATCTGTTATCAACAAACTTCGACAAGAAAACGATAGCCTAAGACGAGAATTAATTGCAGAAAAAGAGCGCAGCAATGGGCTAGAAGAAGAGCGAGAGTCCCTAAAATTATTAAAATTAGTCGTTAAACTTCTTTTCTAAAGATTTATACTACAAGTCGAGCGATTCAACTTCTTTACCTAAAGAGAATGGAAATGGAAATATCCATTTTGTTGACGACACGACTTCTACTCCTATAACTTCCTATTGTACCATCTAACCCCGCAGAGAGCTTGACAAGTGCTAAAACTACGGTAACTCTAGGAGACTCGATCATCCAAAATCTCCAGGGCTACAAGTTAGGTAAGGAAACCAACCAACGAGTTGTAGTGAAGTCTTTTAGCAGAGCCACGACCATGACATGAAGTCTTATATCCAGCCAACGATCGATAATGCTCCAGATAGGATTTGTTTACATATCGGGACAAATGATTTAAAATCCAAGGTACCAGATGATATTGCAAACGCTATTGTGGATCGTGCCAAAACCATTCAATCTACCTGTGGAGCCGAGGTTGTGTTATCTGAGTTAACTACGCGCAAAGATGTCCACAAAGAATCAGTAAAATCTGTTAACAAGCTCCTCATTAAATATTCCAAGCAGCATCAATGGTCTTTGGTTCGCCACTCCAACATCACGGAGAAAGTCTTAAACAGAGGTGGTTTACATTTAACCAAACAAGGTAACGATCTATTATATAAAAACTTTGCATCATGTTTAGCAGCCAAGGAAGCTAATCATCATTGAACTGTTTCCTCGAATGCCGATCGTCTTGAATGTTATGAATCTCATATCAATAGCTACGATAATTGCATATCGACTCAATCAATTTTGGATCAGCAGAGATCCATTATTAACAATCACATTCCTTCTTCACTAAATGTTAACAAACTCAACATGCATATTGATGAAATTAGAATTTTGCTTGCCGATAAGTGTCTAGATGTTCTTGCTATTCAGGAAACTAAACTAGACATGTTTAATAATAACTCTGATTTTTATATCTGTGGCTACGAATTAGTTCGAAGAGATAGGCTTAGCGATGGTGGCGGAGGTATATGCTTTTATATTAAATCAACAATTAATTTTTCCGTGCGGACTGATCTCAATATTGACGAGCTTGAAAACCTGTGTATCGAAATTCGCAAGCCGAACTCTAAACCTTTTATTGTTGTCAATTGGTATAGGCCTCCTAACTCTCCAATGGGGCTATTCTCACATTTGGAAGATCTTGTTGCGAGATTTGATCTGACAAATCTTGAATTTTTCCTACTTGGTGATATGAATGCCGATATGGCCTCAACCAATTACGACAACAATGTCCGTCAGCTAATAAACATTGCTGATATTTATGGCCTCCACCAACTCATTTCTTAGCCTACTCGGATAACAGATAAATCATCTACATTTAATTTATACAAATTGTCCTGAGAGGGTAGTCTGCTCCAGAGTCGCCCATATCAGTGTTAGTGATCACAGTCTTGTTTATGCGTTTCGTAAACTTTCCATTAACTTCCAAAAGGGTCACACTTCAATAACGTACAGAAACTTTAAAACTTTCAATCGTGCCAAATTTCGTAACGATATCTGCAATGAGAACTAGGAATTTTTGGCTCCAGCTCTTGATCCCAACCAAATGTGGACAGAGTGGAAAACCAAATTTTTACAAATTGTTGACAAACATGCTCCGATTCACATTAAGCGCGTTAGATCTAAAAATTCTCCGTGGATTACTGCTGATTTGAAAGAACGCATGCATAATCGTGACACATTAAAGATCAAAGCAATCAAGTCGAATGATCCGCACGATTGGGCCAATTTCAAAAGAATGCGTAACAAAGTTAATACTGAAATTAAAGCTGCTAAAGAATTATTTTACAATAATAAGTTTAAAACTAATGGCGACCCGCGTAAAACGTGGCAAATCATCCACGATCTTACATCTCGTAAAGCCGTTAATTTATCGATTAGAGAAATAAACCTAAATGGTACTTCTATATCTGGATCATGCGACTTGTCGAATGCTTTCAATGATCATTTCTCATCAATAGGACCTAAACTTGCTAATGACATCCCATTATCTAATAACAATGACCACTGTCATCGGAAATATGTCAAAGGCATTAACAATAGATTCGAGTTCCGCCCCACTGATAGTGGACAGGTTTTAAAGCTAATGAATAAACTAAATAAGTCTAAAGGGACTGGTCTCGATAAGCTATCAAGTCGGCTTATTCGTGAATGTGCTGACCTTATTTCACCACATATCTCAATTATTTTTAATTGCTGTTTAACTACCGGCACATTCCCTGATGACTGGAAATTAGCCAAAGTTATGCCTATATTCAATCAGGGCGATAGAAGTGATATGAACAATTATCGCCCAATTTCTGTGATCTCAGCAATAGCAAAAGTCTTCGAAAGAATAGTTTATAATCAGCTTTCTTCCTATTTATCCGAAAATAATATTTTGTCAAAATATCAGTCTGGTTTTCGATCCTTTCACTCAACTGTAACCGCTTTGCTCGATGCCACTGATAATTGGGCCTTAAACATAGATCGTGGCTATGTTAACGCTGTTGTCTTTTTAGATCTAAAAAAGGCATTAGACACAGTCGATCACTCTATTCTATTATACAAACTATATTTATATGGAGTCAAAGGAATTGCCTACAAATTGCTTTCTTCTTACTTAGAAAATCGTACGCAAAAATGTTCTGTCAATGGTGTCCTTTCTAAACTTGTGGGATTCCCCAGGGGACAACACTGGGGCCTTCGCTGTTTCTCTTATACATTAATGACTTACCTAATTGTTTATCAAATGTACGTGGATGATACTCACCTAACATATGCTGATAATGACATCTGCTCCCTTGAGGCTTCTTTAAATCAGGACTTGTTAAATATAAACAATTGGCGTCATTGCCAATAAATTGACTCTCAATATGACAAAAACTGAATTTATGTTCATGGGAGCAAGACAAAAATTGAATAGTCTATCCGTTCTCCCAGACTTAGAAATTAATGGTACACAATTAAACAGAGTCGATTTTACCAAGTCTCTTGGTGTATTAATTGATGAAAATCTAACATGGAGTAATCATATCAACGCTATATCTAAAAAAATCTCTTCTGGTATTGGATCTATTAAACGAATAAGTCACTGTGTTCCTCCTGCAACTGTACATAATATCTATCATGGGTTAGTTCAATCACACTTCGACTATTGTAGTGTTGTTTGGGGTAACTGTGCCAAAACATTATCTGACAAATTACAGAGACTTCAAAATCGTGCTGTCCGCGTCCTTACCCATTCTAGTTATGATGCTGACGCCAGCCAACTATTTAAAGAATTAGGCTGGGACAATTTAGAAACTCGACGTCAAAACCTAAAGGCTGAGATGGTCTATAAGTCCTTAAACGGCCTCGCACCGAATTATTTGTCCTCGAAATTCATTCGACGGAGTGATGTGAATACTTCTTACAATTTGCGCGATTCTGATAATAAGCTTGCAATACCATTGCCATGTACTAACCATTACAAAAATAGCTTTGCCTATAGTGGTGTAGTCCTCTGGAACAGTCTACCCTCAGCTGCTAGGCAAGCAACATCTCTGACTAATTTCCGACGATTCTTAATTAATTCCGACACGGCATTCATGTAAAACAGGCTTTAATTTAGTTTACTTTTCTTTAATAGTTAGCAATAGTTGAAATTATAGAAGATTAATTTGTATACATAGTTTCGTATTTAAGTTGTAGCTTTATATTAAATTGTTAATGCCTGATGTATTTACCGTGTTTTTAAATAAAGATGATGATGATGATGATGATGATGATACCTCTAGAAATGTTCCTCTGACTTACAAACAACCCCGGGGGGGGACTCCGCATATAAAAGGGGAGGGGATGCTCGACGGAAATTTTGAATTAAACCTCTAAAGAAGACCGATCTGGGCGTGGCCCAAGCTTTTTTTGACCCCTAAAAGAGACCATGTTAAAACACAGACAATATGGATATTTCTATATTTTTTCGCGTACAACCCTAAACGAGACCTTCAGCGCTAGATATGATGGCGTTTTGCCCAGAACACCCTAAGTGAGACCAAAATCGGAAATTTACACCCCTAAGCGAGACGACGAGCATCCCCACCCCTTTCATATGTGGAGTCCCCCCCAGCAAACAACGTTAACATAAGAGTTGCGTGATGCAAATTAACTTCACCGTATTTTTGAAGCGTCGAAACTATAAAGATTTCTCTCTATGCCAAGGCTTGACAGTTGCCTCTATGTCAAGCCCAAAGCAGTGTTTGAAATCGCTTGAATTTTCAAAACAACTTCCTGATGTTACACAAATTAGAGAGATATTTCGTGTAAATTGGACGTGAATTTCCGACTGCCAGGCATCTAGTATTTTGAAAACCGTACCTGTGAGTCAAGATTCTAAAGAATATGCTTCATGCAAGCTCGGAGAATTTGTCCGCAACAATACAAAACCTTTATTTAAAATCGCTGGGCATTTCTGAACAAACACTACATACTCTGGTGTGGTTTCGTTGATAACTTCTGTGGATATTCATCGGGAGTTGACTTAGTGTGTCAAAACTTGATTATTTTTAAAGTGTCGAAAACATTGAGATTTCACTCTATGCCCACGCTCGACAGTCACTTCTACTTTCAACCCAAGGCAATATTTACAATCGTTTGAGATTTCTACACAAATATCTTGTGTTCTAAGAGGAATTAAACGAGCTATTTCGAGAAAATTAGTCAAAATTTCTGACTGCCGGGTATCTAGTTTTTTTGAAAACAGTTCCCGGCTGCCTGGAATCTAGACACGCCGTAATTAGATTAGTTTCAGAAGCCCTTTAGGGACGAAAATGAAGTAAACCGGCATTAAGTTTGACGGCTTATTTGGTAATTTCATTTATGGTAATTGTAGAGAATATCCCTTACACCCGACGTAGTCAATCGAACGAAACCAAACCAAAAATCAATTGAACTCAATTGAACAAAACGGTCGAATTGTTGTTCGATTGTTTCCGTAATCGAACATAATCGAACTGGAATTTTTCGGTGCGTTCGATTAATCGAACTTGTGTGTTTGATTACCGAACTCAATCGAACCAGTCTAACTCAATTGACGAGATTAGTTCGATTTTGTTTGGCTGAAAGACAAAACGCATCCAGTTGAATCGGAAAGATCTCCCTCTAATGTGTATTTGAAGCAGCTTGAAAACAAAAATGTTTCAATTAACCCGGAATTAACTAAAACCTTTATTGTTTATGTGATTCAAAATCGATAAATTCACAATCAATACTGGGAAACATGCAAGCAAAGGCCCCAGTTCACGTTGCAAATGTCCAAGTTGGCCGCGGTCATCGTCAGTTACCTTCAGAGCTCGATCTCCCATTTTCTTCTTACAGAAAATAAACTTTCACTGACACTGACGGTGAAAGCTGGCACCAGTGGTTAGCCTTCAACCATTATTTCCAGAATTGTTCGTGTTTTGCGATCCACCCTCTGTGACATCTTTGCATACTCGTGTTTGAAATTGAAGCCAATGGATAACTTATTTGAACGCAACGCCTTTTGTTTGAAACGAGATGAAACTGGTTTTATGTTGGATAGTTGCATGCAATGTTTGATTATGTTCGGTTGTTTAAGGATTCGATTTCTGAACGTTTCAGTGATTGTGTTCAATTAGCAATATTTTTGGGTGGGCTCAATTAAGTTCAATTACCGAACCCAATCAAAGTCAATCGCCGGAGTTTGATTGGGTTCGATTTCCGAATATTTGATTGACCATTCCGGGCTTACAATCAGAGACCTGTAAGACAAGGTAGGAATGTAACAGTTCCAGTTTGGAAATCATATGTTGTTTGGCTTGATACTATTTAGCCTTAGAAAACGGTAGTTTCAAAAACTAAGCACTCGAAAACAAAGACTAAAGCACGAAGCACCCAAATCTCGAAAACAAAGCACTCAGTACTCAAAACCATTGTAGGTTGAAGAACTACAACTTAAAGTGTTGCATGACACAACCCGAACCAGGTTTAGGCAACCGATGCGTCCGCACCTCCAAAGGTCGACAAATCCATTCCAATGTTTTATTTCAGGCCTGTGAACTGTTTAACTGAACGTTTCCAGGTAGGAAGCCCTGTATTATTAGTCTTGCAATACTTGATACATCTTATTTTAAAATGCATTTTTTCTGTACACATGCATGTTTATGATGACATACCTGGTGTCTATGACACTGCATGTTACCCAGATCAGATCCAGGCAGAATTTGTTCTTGGGTAATAGCCTGGGACTAGGCTCCATGGTGGGGAACAGGAGAATTTTTAAAATAAAAGGAGCAAAAAAAACATGGAGAGTTAAGCTACTGGGGAGAAGGGAGAAGGCAGCCGATGAAGAGAAGTCTGAAGACATGCTTTTTATGCCACCGATCCACCCTTAACTACACTAATTTGCAAATGGCCTTTAAAGTGGAATGGAATAGAAAAGGCTCATCATTTGTACGGGGATTTGCTGAAATTGGTCCAACTCATTTCCCGATCCCATGCACACAAAAATTAGCATGGGAGACTAACGTCTGATTGGCTTTTCCTGGAATTATAGTAACATTCTAGAAATCGTTTGGGCGTTCTCGGTTTTCTGATCACGTCCAAAACAGGAAATCGTCACTTTTTTAAATTCCTGGGTGGCAAAAAAGCATTTGCTTGCAACACCTCACAGTTCTACTTGAATAGTTTTGAACTGCATTCTTAGTTCTATTTGTTATTGTGCTTGATTCCTGCTGTATTAGCACAGAGTTATTCCAGAAAAAATCCACACCCCCACGACGGAAGGCATGCTGGAAAATCTCACGGGAGGGGGGTTAACGGCTCTGGAAATCCAGATGGGAGGGGGGCTCTGAACCTAAAAATACATCCTGGGGGGTAATTTTCGATTTCATCGGTTTCAATCGCTTCAAACGACAAGTTTTCAAAAAATTGCTTTGCCCTTTCAAATTTTATTATTCTTTCAAACTACAGACCTCTTACCACATTTTCTTAAAGTTTCCATCCATAGGCTCACCCTCGTTTATACTTTTGTAGAAGCGGCATGTGATAACTTGAAGATAATCTATAAGAAAAATCGCATAATTCTTAAAAAAAGCACTCAGTTCAAGTAAAGCAAACAATGATTTTACCTTGAATTAAACATTTTTCCAAGGTCAATGCTATTTCAGGGTGATTTACCACTAAACATGCCTTACAAGTAAGCATGGTTGTTCATTGTTCGGCGGCCATTTTGAAAGGCGCGTCATGTAATACCCCACTAAGTGTCCTTTTTCTTTATTTCGTTATCGACCAAGAAGGGAACCATTTATTCGAGAACATAGTTAGCTTTGAGCTTTATTGTAGTATGTATTGCTGTATATTTTGCCTGTTCTACGAAAAAAGAGAAGTTCACTCAAATATGAGCTTATTTGCAAAACGTGTAACCCTGTGTAAGGTGAATCGACCCAGTTTTTTGGGGGGGTACCATCCTACTTTCAAGCTCTCTGGTATCCCCACCTTTACTTTTATCGTAACTCTAACACATAGACTGGATAACATATAGATCAATCTACAATACAACATAAAATGTTTGGCGATAGGAGTAAATGTCACGTGGTTATAAATATGCCACACCCCTTAGAGGTCTGAGTCGAAAATCTGCTGTTGCCGGCATTTTTTCGTGAAAATCTCTCGGCTACACGTAGTGCGCATTAGTACCTTGCGCTGAACAGAGTTTCTTGTTCAGCACGCGTGCAATGACCACGCTTGGCTGACTTCCGAATACTCACCGAGATATGATAATTTAGTATGAGAAAATAGAAGGGATTCCCGTCACAAGTTGGTTTAATTATTGGCTTGCATTAAACCTCTGAAAAATGATATTTTTTAACAGTAAGTAGATTTAGTGTGTAGCACTTCTTGATTTTTTTGCAAAGGCACAAGAAGCACGAGAATTGATTAAAAATTGTGAGTTGAACCGCTATGTATCACACGATGGCCTGTCTCACTGTACCAAAATTATCATATCTCGGTGAGCATTCGGAAGTCAGCCAAGCGCGGTCATTGCACGCGTGCTGAACAAGAATGCTGTATCATGACAGACTAGAAACAATAGACAACTCCCAAAGCACAAACTCAGCCAAAACGCTAAAAATCTTCAATGTTTACTCAAGTTTGGGCTTATAGAAGATAATGTCACAGTTTTTCAATGACCATGAAATTCAGAATCCGGGTAGTTAGTTAATCAATTGTGGCCCTGAAAAAATGTGAAGGAAAAAAACTACGAATTTTTAAGACAATGCTTTTTTCGTGAAAAGGACTCTTAAACGCTGACACACATCAACAAATAGCTAAAACTATAATTTCTATATGTTTGCTTTCCTCAAAATCACGCACATTTACAAGACCCTAAAGCTTTTTGCTGACTTGCAAGGACCCATCTGTTATAACGATCCCCAAAATAAAGGGATAAGTCTCATAGTTTATTAGATATAATCGTGTAAAGTTTGCTTATCATTTTCGCATAAATTATGACCTAAATTTGGAAACTGCTGAATTTCTCGAATTGGGTCTTTGCGATTTTGGTGAAACTCTGTTCAGCGCCAGGCACTTATGC